TTTGTTTCTTTGCAACTAAAGTCCAGTGTTTTCTGAATTTAAAACTTTTTTATTGCTTGTTGTTAAACTCTGTATAGCCCCATTAATCCACTTGACATACTAAAAGTTTGCCTAGACTCAGCTCATAGTTCCAAAAAGCTGTGACTGTAACTGATACATTTTAGGTCTGTGTTCCAGAGTGACTTTCTGACCCCTCTTGAAATTTGGATTCTTTCTATCAATGTATTTACACATGTCACCCTATTCAAATAGGGGCTGCAACCTTAAAGTGCACTCTTCCTGATTGTCCATATTAATGAAGAATCACATTCCCCTAAGTAGCTTTGGAACCACTTCTGTTTGTTGAGATTCAAGTTCAAAACAACTCCTGCCAGCTGTTGCATAACTAGCCAATTCCTGATCATCACCAAACTCCTGGAAAGTGTCATGGTAATGCTGTTATGCTTGTACAGCAGTAACATAATTACAGATGGTGTGGTTTTTTGGTTTTTGTTTTTGCCATCCAGCTCCTGACTAGTATAGCTTTGGCCCAGATATGGGCAAAGGAGCTAACTCAGCTGAGCATGACCCACCGACTGGTCTGTGGGAATTAAGAACAGCTCTTCAGTAGCCAAAACTAGCATAAAAGGAAATGATCCTGATTGGCCTCCAAATCAGCTCTGCCCCAGGACATTATCTGGCAGGGCTAGGACATTGCTGCAGGAGTTCCTATAGTTGCTTCATCAGTGATGGTCCCTTGAACATGGTGTCAGTATTCAGTAATATTTGCAGCACCTGATATTGGAGTGGTATGTTTCCCACATCCAGCAAGATGGAGACAACATTCAGATTTAGGCTGAGTGGCAAATAGCATTTGTGTTGTATAGCTACTTGATTGTTTCCAACAAGTCAAACTAACCCTGTCCCTTGGCATTCACACTCTCTCTATCACTGAATCCCCTACTGTTGACATGCTGGGAGATCCCATGAACAAGAAGCTTAGCTAGACCAGCCATTCAAATCCTGTCTGAACAAGCACCAGTAAAATTTTTCGTAACACTGAAGTGAGGAATTCCACTCCCTGAAGTCTGTCTAGCATCTACAAACATGTTAGTGTGATAGAATACTTCCCCTTTGCCTAGATGAATTCACCTCCTACAACACAAGAAGCTTGACACCATCCAGGACACCACAATCTGCCTGATCAGTATACCACCTGCCATTGTAAACATTCAGCCCTTCCACTGTTGGTGCACAATAGCAGCAGTGTGTATCATCAAGCTGCACCACAGCAACTTACCAATCTCCTTTTGAGAGCATGCTCAAAATCAGTTTCTCTCATCCAGATCACCAAGGTCAGTAGGTATCTGTAAACACCACCACCTGCAAGATCCCCTCCATGTTCCAAGTGAGGATGTATATTGCCATTTCTTCACTGTCACTGGTTTAAAAACCTGGACTGTCTTTCATGTAGCACCACAGGAGCCTCCTCAGTCCCAAGGATTGCATCGGTGCAAAGAATGTACTCAGCACCAGCATGCAGGCAACTAGATGGCAGCAAATGCTAGCCTTGGTTACATCTCATGGTTTTTAAATCCCTGAACATCCAGGTTTATTCCCCCCTCTGCCCTGCCACAATTTTTCCTCTAGTATATTACGTTTGCTGCCCTTATGCCTTTTCTCTTGGTTGCTAACAGCAGTGCCCAGGAGAACACTACACTTCCTGCAGTCTCTAGGATAATACTGGAAGATGGACAGCCCTATTCTTGATGTGGTAGTCCTTTGTTTTGGCACAATTCATGGCCTGGCAGATCCTTTAACCCATTGCCTTGCCCATTTGTCAACTTGGAACTACATAATGATCTACAAAGTGGTGAGATTTCCCTATTCTCCCTGTGAATTATAATGTGCTGCTTCTTTCATCTCGTTTGGGCATGTATATGTGATCTTTTACATTCATCAATCACCATTGGGTTAATGACTGTCAAATGATGCTTCCTCAATACAGTGCTGAAGGGTATTGCAACAAGGGAAGTGCTGATGAATGTATGCCAACATCTTTCTACTTGCCTCTGAAATGCTGCCTTGTTTTACACTTAAGACCAGGGATTTTTATCTGAAATGATGTAAAAACAACTTCTGTTCTGTCCAGTCCACCCCCTTCTGCAATTGCATTGAGGAGCCTTTTAGTTGATGGACAGCTTTTAGTAGCCTCTGAATGAACGTTGAGCTGCATTGTTCATTGTTACTGGCAAGCAACAACAGAGCAACAATTGCAATTTTGGTTTCAGTTCCAGCCACTTCTGCACTGGCTGTTTTATGTTTGCAAGGTTTCAGAGGGATTGGCCCATGCTGAATAAATGTTATCCAAAAAACTGGATGGTGTTTGACAGATGTGGCACTGAGCCCATCTTAATTCTTGACATCAAAGTGATATGATAAGCTCTGTTGAAAAGATCTTTTATCAACATTGCAAGATTCTATAGGAAGAATGTTTTTGTTTTTTAATAGTACCATTCATAAGCTAACCTTAGTCCTTTGATCCTTATTTCCCTTCCTCTTAAAGCCACATCCGACAAATATTTTGGTCAGCCTTCATGGTTTTTTTAATCTTAGTGTCTGTTTGCTTGCAAAGGGCTTCAGGATGTTTGTCCCTGTATTAAAATTGGTCATGGTAGTGTAGGCTCATCAATAATATTACCCATATGATGGGAAGCTAATGTGACCTGTGTCAACAAAGTAAAAGATGCAGTGTTTGGGTGAGCTTTCACCCTGCTTCTGAGAGACTTTAAGCTTTGAAGTTTAATGATCCAAGCAGCAAGTGTACAAACAACTCCCATCCACTTTCTGTACTTTTTTCAGTCATTACATTCTTAAATTTATGGTGATCTTTGGATTAAGGGTCTTGTGTGTCAGCAACACATTGTTCTAGTGCTGAAGGGGGGTGGTTTTTCCTTTTTAAAAACTGCATTTCTGCTGTAAATGTGACAAGTATCTAGGCCTCCAGAACCCAAATGCTGAAATCATAATCCCTACAGTGCCAAAATAGGCCTTTCAGTCCATCGAGTCTGCACTGAACCTCTGAAGAGCATCCTATCCAGACTTAGCTCCCTACCACATTCACTGGCTAATCCACCTCAGCTGCATGCTATGGGACAAGTTAGCATGGGCAGTCCACCTAACCTGTGCATCGTTGGGACTGTGGGAGGAAACTGAGCACCCAATGGAAACCCATGCTGGCACAGGGAAAATGTGCAGACTTTGCACAGGGTCCCTAGCACTGAGGCAGCAATGCTAATGTCATACTATTTTTAATGTTCTGAAAAATACAAGTAGGAGTAATTCTTATGTCTATTGAGCCTGCTTCAATATTCTATACAGTTTGCTTCAAGCTGCCTTTCCTGTCCTCTCCTCTTCTCTCTGAAGACTGTTCATCTCAGCCTTGGAATATATGCAACAATAAAGCATCTACAGCTGTCTGCAGTAGACTATTCCAAAGACACTCAACCCTCAGTGGAGAGATTTCTCCTATTAAATAATCAACTACTTCTCCTCCAGCTGTTTCTTTTGGCTATGCAACCCAGGGATACAATCTGTCTGGGTCTATTCCATCAAAAAAACCCACGTGGAAAGTTGTGTTATTATGACGGAGCTGGGGTGGTGGGATAAGGTGGGGATCTCAGTAAGTCTAAAAACAAAAGTTTCCTCAAAACGCAGTCGAGGCTGTGGACAGTGGGTCTGGTAAACGGTAGGAATGGGAGTGGGCCATTCATCCCATCAAGCCTGTACCACTATTCTAGATCATGGCTAATAATTTCCTCAGTGTGGGGAAAATGACGTTATCTTTATAATCCCTTCATGCCCTGACTCTCCAGAAACTTGCTAAGTTCTGCATGAACCTTCATTGATTGAACTTCCACAGCCATCTGGTTGAGAATTCTGAAGATTCATAAGCTTTTCATTGAAGAAGTTCTACCTCACCTCAGTCTCAATGGCCTGCCTCTTCTACTGCGATTATGTTCCTCATTTTAGAGTCCCCAGCCAGTGGAAATGCATTATCTAGTACCATCTGCCATAGCCTGTAAGAACTTTACAAGTTTCAGCAAGGTCACCTCTCATTCACTAAAACTGTAGAGAGTACTGGCTCAGTTTCTTCACTCTCCCCTCCTGAAATAGTCCCACCGTCCCAGGGATTAATCTGGTGACCCTTGGATAAGGAGATACAAACTGTACATAACACTCCACGTGAAGTCCCACCTAAAGTGCAACAACAGCAGCAGAAATCATTACATCAGGACTCAAATCCCCCTGAAATGAACATAGAAAGGAGAACACT